TGAAGAAGAAAAACATAATGAAAAATAAGACTGTTCGAAGCAATGGAGGTAAGATTTTTTTTTTTTTGGTTGAAACGATGAGTCTTCTTTGCAAATATAGGCATTTTCAAGTGTTTGTTAGAAAACTCACATATATAACATGAATAAGAGAGCCAAGATGGATTAGTGGATGAATTTTGGGCTTATTTTGATGACAAAAGTTGATGGTCGATGGTGGTTACAATGATGGCTATCTGGGTTTATAAGGAGTTGTTGGTTTTAGTTTCTAGGTTTCTAGGCTTCTAGGTTTAATTTTGGATTTAAAGCATTTTTAATTGATAAAAAATGAAGCATTTAATGGTAAAATAGATTTAACAGCCCATGTAAGTCACTGCCGTTAAGCAATCTTGATTTGAACATATCCAAAAACATTTAGTCCTACATTAAACCAAATTAACGTTGATATCCTTAATTGAAAAAACATCGAAATATATTAGATCTCTAATTTAGCATTTAGCATTTATCATTTGTTTCTTTAAGCAATAGTTTTTTCCTCTTCAAAAATTGAACTAAATAGTTTCACCCCAAAAAATAAAGAAAAATCAAGCATAAATTCTTCAAAATCACAACCTAGAATCTTTAATAAACCAAAAGAAAAACAACCCATTAAATAAAAAAGGTTAGGCATTTAAACCAATACCCATATTAAAACACCACCAAAAAACAAAAACCTAGAAATCAAAATGTTTTTTTGACTTTGATTTATTCAATTAAAGAGAGCTATTTAATCAATAATTGAAAAGAGGGAAATCACTTACCAAAAAAATGATAGAAGAATAGTTGAAGATTCCAAAGCTAAGCTATTGACTTTTTTTTTAGCCTATGGGAGAAGACTGGGTAGAAGAAGCTTTTAGCCGCTGCTTGTTCAGTGCTATTTCCCAATCATACAATGGTTTTTAGTCATTATTAAGCCCAATAAGTCTCTACCCTGTGTCCACAATTCCAGACCTTCAATCCAAGATCATGCCTTGGGCTGGCTTAGTCCATCTGTCATTACCAGAGAGCTCTTGGCGAGGAGACCTTAAGAAAAGTTTCTAAAACAGATAAAAAATGAAGGTCGACCTGATTTGAATTTTTTTTTCAACTTTTTCTCTTTTTTTCTAATTTCTTTATATTTAGTTTTTTTTTTATTTTCGTTTTCTAATATCTAGATTTTTCTATCTTTGTTTGTGTTTTCTTTAACTTTCCTTTCTTCTTTAGTTTCTCCCAATTTCTTTTACCTCTCTCTAAGAGTCCAAGAATTTGGATCTTTCATTTTTTTTTCTTTTTCTCCCTTTTTTATTTTTTTTCTCTATTTGCTTTCTCTCTTGGCTTCTCTCTAATTTTTTATACCCAAATTTTTTCCAACCAATTAGAATAAAGGAATAGCTTTTAATATAAGTATAAATTCCACTCCATAGAAAAAAAGAGAGTTGAGACTGAAACATGAAACAATTTGGGAACTTTAATTAATGAACAGTAAAAAATTAATTAATTAATTAAATTGAAAAAACTGTAACTAGGTTCCATAGCATTCATTACATCTAAAACTGCTACCATTCAAGTAGTTTTCTGAACTTTGATTGAAAGCATCAAAACAGGAAAAAGCCAATGTTAACTTAAAATGGGTCTTACACAAGCCCAACATTACCTTAAAGTAATTACTCTTATCGTTTGCCCTAAATTGACATCATAATTATTGATCTACATATTGTACATTTGGCATTTTTTTTCCCTTCATTATTTCATAAAATCAATTTTCTTTTTTCCGTTTCCCTTTTTCTAAAAGGGGTTTTTATTAATATTTTTAGTGGTAAGGAATTTTTATATGTTTTTTAATATATATTTTGGGATCAATTCAAATAAATTTATTAATATTAGATTTAATAAATTCATAGAAATTACATTTTTACAATATCTCAATGAATTCAAACATCAAGCAATTAAAAATGAAACAAATTCTCTTACTACTTGAGCCAATGGTTTTATCAATTTTTTCTTTGTTATTCTAGTATATTGTTAGTATTTGTTTCCATGAACATGTATACAAACAAATGAAAAAAATACCTACATGTATGCATTGGTTAGTTCATGCATTTTTTGATGTAAAAATGATATCATCTTTTATTTTATTTTTAAATTATCCTTATACATTAGATTAAATTAACGTGAATAAATGCTTCAAATTTTATATTTGAAGAATTATTTTAGATTTATAATCTGAAAATGTGTCAATATTACAAATATATCATGTATGCAAGTTAGTTTATACTAGAACATGCCGTTAAAATACTTTTTTTTAAACAAAGGAACCCCCAATTTAAAAATAAGGGAATGAGTTACAAAAGATGATTGCATGAATTAATTTAAAATTTTTTAGTTTGTAAAATATTTTTTAGGTGTAAAGAATATCAAATTTTTATTGCCAAAAAAGAATATCAACTTTATTATGCTATCAAATTGCCCTTCAAAGATTTTGTGATTAAAAATATTAAATTCTAAATTTAGTTAATATTTAATTATTTTTTGAATGAAAATCCTACCCAAAAAATGAGTTGGTAATTTTTCAACTGGGAAATGCTATTTATTGATTCAGAAAGAAAGTAGTACTTCTTTGATTTATTCAACCTATTTTGGAAGGGTCTTGTAGCTTGAAAGCAAACAAAAGTTTGGATGTTTTTCCTTGCAGCTGGAAGCAACTTTCCCATAAATGTCCAATATAATCTCATGATTTTCAAGTCTTATCACTATGTATGTTCCAAGCCAAAGAATGTAGAAATAGATATGCATGAAAGTAACATAGGAGCAACCTATATGTATAGTCCCATTGGGCCGGTTGGAACTTTAGTAAGAAAAGTTATTCAACTAAATTAAAATATACAGCATTTAGCAAATTATAATGCAAAAGTACCCCAAATGTAGAAAATGTTTTATAATATTTTAATTTATTTTTAATAAATAAAAAATCAATTTATTAAATCAAATCATAAATTTTAAAATAAAAATATATATTTTTATTAATTAATAATAGAAAAATTAAATGAAATCAACATACAAAATGAACTAATTAAAAAAGATGAATGCGAAAAAATATAATTTTTTTTATAATTTTATGAATTATTGAAGGATAAATTGAAAATATAAAAAAATCTTATCAAATATTTGCTACTATAGATTAGCAATTTTTTATGAGTTTTAGTTTAGAATTTCATCTAAAATTAAGCTTAAGTAGAATACTGTCATGAGATAAAAGTTTTAAAATTTTGAGAGCTAAAATTTAGTTTTGACTTTTATAATAAAAAAAATTGTAAATATAATCAAATTAATAGTTACGTAATATGAAAATATATCATCTATAATAATTTATTCTAATTAATCGATCAAATTTATAATAAGTCCATCAAAATTTCATATGAAGTCATATTTATATAATTGATGCACTTTTATATAATTTTTTATTATAATTAAATAACTATAAAATTATAATAAAAATTATATGTGAAATCACATAATGTGCTTTGAGTTGTTAGATTTCAATTGAAATTCTAGGACATTCATTTCCATCATTAATGATGCTTATTTTTGCAATTGGTTCGAATCACTTTTAGCGTTAAACATTAGAATTTTTTTATATGCTTTAAAATAAACGAACAGATAAATGGTATTTAATAAGTTTGGAATTGAATTTTAATATTTATAATTTTTTTTTATTATGAGATTGTGATTTTTTTTTTGTTAAAAAAAATGCAAAATAACTTAAAAGGGCCAAGAAAATATAACGAACTTGACTTTTGGATTTTTAGCTTGAACAAGATTTTTAAATAAATTAAGACGGTTCACTAATTTCAATCTTAATCATTCATTTCATTTTAGTTTACCTATGGATAGTCCTCTCTCATTTCAAAATTGACACAACTAGGAACATTTTAAAAACGTCCAAAAAAAAAATCAGAAGAGTTCTTCTCACCTTTCTTCCTTTTTTTTTTTTTTTCCAAGAATATTAAGAAATTCTGAAGGCAAGCCTAAGGAGTTCAAGAATCCGAAGTAGTTGAAGAAGCCCAAAGATTCCAAATGCCCAAGGAATCTAAAATCCAAAGCTTTGTCCAAGTCAATTCAACCCATATCGATTCAACATTTGGAAGTCTAATCGAACATCGAGGTAATATCCAAACCGTTTAACCATGTGTTAAACCATGGGATATAATCCATGAATAACCTGGTCATGTAGATGCAATTATGCATGATAGCTTATTTAGATTAAATTTAATATGCCATGATATTATTAGGGTTGTCGTAATGCTCAAACAATTTCATGTGAAATTTAACTACTATTCAGATTCTTATGCATTCTATGATTCTATCTCATATAGTATTTGGTGTGTATATATATAAATATATATATATATATGCATACTATGATTCTATCTCATTTAATATTTGGTATATATGCGCATTCACCATGGTAACTTTAGGATTATCATCATGTATGTCATAATGTATATTATTTGAAATACTTTTAAGTTGAATTATTTTATTTCGAATGTCTATGGTTATTGTGATGAATATGTATTGCTTACATCATGCTTAATTGTCGATAGCTCATCTAAAATTGTTAGTTCATATGTATTTTTTGTAGATATATGCATTGCAACATAACACATTTAACTATTCATTATTACATGATTCATTGAAGGAGAAATTAATGAACATTATAATCTATCTTGACCTACTTAATCAAAGATGAAAGTGTAAACATCGAGTCATTCCATATAGGATTAGAAGCTCTGATTTCTTCTATACCATGTATTCAAACTTTTTAGCCAGCAAGTGGCTCAAATTTAAAAATCTTTCAATTTCGATAATATAAAAAATCGAGCAACACTCCATAAATTATCTCACATAAGCAAGGAATGACACTCGTACTGCTCACATGTGACGATTCTTAATCACATGTCAATTCTTAATTTGCAGAGCCTATAACAAGTATGATAAAAAAAAAAAAAGAAAGAAAAGAAAAAAGACTTCTTGTAATGATCTTTTCATCCAAACTAGGTCTTAGTGCTTAGGTTATAATTAAGAGATAGAAAGTAGTTTGTACTTAAAAGAGTTCATATAATCTATTGATACATAGTGTTAACTGTTAAAATTCTTCTTTCTTCAAGTGGAATTTGAATTTATCTTTAAAGCAATTAGATACATGCACCTCCTATTACACTACATACTTGGATATACCCTTAAAAATCCTTTAAACTTGACATTATAACATAGGTAAAAGAAGATCGTGTGAGTTGTCCCAATGGAATACAAGCCTTTTTCTACTCGTTCTTGGTTGTAGTAAAATAAAATGTCACAAAGAAAAAAAAATCAGCCTTATAATTTTTTCTAATAAATACTTCCCCATGCTTCACACTAATAAGTTTTCATTTCAAAGATATAAGCGTATCGCAAAAAATAAAATGAAAAAATAATTTCAAATAGAAGTTCAATTTCAAAGCCTTAAAGATAAGTCAACCTGGCTAAACTCCTCCTCAACATTTTCAGGCCTGTATCCCTTGGACCAAGAACCATTCCCTTCTCTAGAACCATAGTTCATGTCTCTCCTTCCATAGCCCATTTCTCCGGCAAACCAAGCAGCTTGACCTTGTTGTTCAAACGGCACGATTGTTGACTGCATACGTTGAGCATGGCTGGAACCACTGAGACTGTATCCTGAGTGGGAATTCGATCCACCATAAGTACACACAGCCGAGCTTTGCTCTCTGCTTTTCCTGGCAAGAGTTCTTTCTAGTTTATGGGCATTTTGGTGGCCTCCAAGTGCTTGTGAACTATAGAACTTTCTTTGGCAATAGTTACAAGAGAAAATTCGAGGTTCAGCTGGACTATGGGGCGATGAGGAAGAAGAAGATGATAGCTCAAGGACAAGCTCTAGGTTGAGTTGATTGTTGGGTACGCTTTGACGGAGAGAAGTATTTGGCTGATAATCCATTATGCAAGAGAGAAAACTTGAAGTAGCTAAGCTATAGCAAAGGCAAAGAGAGATAAGTTGAATGGAATCGAAAGAATGAAAATGATGATCCGGTAATGGTAGGTCGATGGGAGATCAATCAGCCTAATCTCAAAGAGATGCCAGAGAAAGGAAAAGTTCATAGGCAAATCAAACTAGTCTATGAAAGAAAAAAGGGGAGGTAGGGGAATAGATGTGAAGCAGTCTGAGAGGGTAAGTCTAGCATTATATGAGGTGCAAACTGCAAAGGTTCACTGTTTCTGCAACCACAAATAGTAAGAAGAGTAAAAAAGAGATGACTTATTGAAAGAGAGCGAGGAGGGACAGTTATGTGCATAGTTCAGTGGGCAATAGGGTTGTCGCATCCATTAATGGCAGCATTCTAATACTTTGTCGGTCCAGGGAAAAAAAATTCAGGGAATTTTCCCTTTGTACTCCCAAACAAATAAGAAATTAGAAAAAGAAAATTGAAAGCAGTTAAATTTTAATATAATCATCTATGCTTTAAAGTTTTCTTTATATTGAATAACTTGTGTATCTGTATAATTTAGCGATCTAGTCGTGGGTCCAATGGCATTTGTTTCAATCCTACTCTCTCTCCCCTTTAATTCGTAATCAGGGTCAGATGAAGCACTAATCAACTTGCCAAGATTGGTATTAAATTATAAACAAGATAAACTGCCTTGACTACACTAAACATGCAACATGATAACAGACCAGCTTGACATTTTTGCCGCAAGATTATTCTATGGCGCACTGAACAAACGTACAAGATTAGACATAGTCCCACTACAGTGAACCCACTGCTGCTAATTGGTACAACTCTATGATCAACTAATGTTTAAATGGTCAGACATTAGAATCCAATCAACTTCTAGGCAATGAGATCAGTTCAGCCCTTACCTCATTCTTTCTCTACTTTCTTAATTGTTCGAGTTCAAAGTTCACATATATGTGCACAAATTTCTTGGCATCAATAACAAGAAAGAGACAAGTAACAGTACTTTTGAGCCTACGAAAGGAGTATAACAAAACAAAAATTCCCATACTCTGTTGAAACCCATGAGGTATATAATCCTCTTTTGTATATTAATATATGGGAAGAAATTTATTGATGTGAGACACCATCTGTGGGAAATTCATATTGATGTGAAAAACAGCTTGAGTCTGGTTGGGAGAGTGATGGAGCCGTCTCTAGAAAAATGTAACTAACTATAGAAAGACATCAAAAGGAACATAGCTGCTCATCTTATTAGCTTCATAGTACATTTTCCTGATCATAGCTTCGGCATCTATCATTTAGAGTCAGAGCCAGAAAAGCTACTAATACCTAAAAGGTATTGGGGAATTGTGTGGAGCAGATCGATGGCTTGCAGTCGTCCATAATGCCTTTGTTTGGGACCCGCTGTCCCAAGGTTTTGAGTACTAGTCGTTAATTACTTACATCACATTTTATTTGAATAATGAAGCGCCCCCCCCCCCCCCCCCCCCTCGGCCTTTTAATTGGTCAATATCAAATGAGAATGGGATTGGATTTTACGTTGTCAATAATTTCCCCCTCCAATCTCGTTAGGGGGAAATCCATCATCTTAACAGTTTTATTCAAAATTCATCTTGATCAAAGAATCCATTCTAGTCAAGTTATTGTAAAGCTCAAGTTTTAGTGTCTTAATCAACATATTTGCTACGTTCTCCTTAGTATGAATTTTTTTTAACTGTATCTACAACTGCTCAATTACTAAACATAGCTTGTAATATCTAATATCAATGTACTTTATTTTAACATGATACATGACATTCTTACTCAAATCTAAAGCACTCTAACTATCACAAAACACCATATACTCTTGTTGATTCAACCTTAATTTAAGAAGAAATATTTCATCCAAAGTATTTCTTTACCTGCTTCGATTACTGCAATATACTTAGCCTTTGTAGTTGATAAGTCAATACACCTCTGTAATTTAGACTGTCAAGATACAACTTCTCAAGCAAAAGTGAACAAATACCCTAAAGTTAATTTTCAACTATCAAGATCACCTATTATGTCAATATTAGTAAACCCTTCTAGAACTGGTTGTGTAGTTTTCTAACTCAAGCACTTTTTTTAGGTGTCCCTCAAATATCTAAAAATCTATTTCACTATTTTCAATGAACTTTTCTCATATTAGAAAGAAATTTACTTACTATACCAACTGCATGAGCAATGTCAGGCCGTGTGCAAATCATAAGATTTATCAAAGAACCTATTGCAGAAAAATAAGGAATATTAAACCTAACTAGTTACTCTTCCTTAATCACCATACAAGATTTCTTACTCAAATGAAAATGGTTGACAAATGGACTGCTAACTGATTTAGCATGTTACATGTTGAATCTATTAAGCACCATTTCAACATATTTTTTTTGTGACAACCACAGCTTTCCAACTCTCTTATCCTAGATAATATCTATACCGAGAAAATGCTTTGCTTATCAAAGAAGCATTCTCATATCCAGAATGTGTTTGACATCTTAGAAAGTTAACATGCAGTCCATACTAGTTTGTATACAATATCATCAATCCCGATAATCTGTGATGCATTTTTATTTTCTATTTTGGTACAACCAAAGTTTTCTACTTTATAAGTTGTAAACAACTCCCTCTTAAGAACATAATGATATGTCACTCTTGTGTTAACTATCCATTCAATGTCGGGATCATCAACATGATTATAATTACCATGTGTACAAATCAAAGTAATTGAATCACTATTTGGATTCACTGCTATAACACTATCATCATTTGAACTCTTGCTTTTCTCATTTTTTCACTCTTACTTCAAGATTTTGCAATTTCACTTTACATGACCAAGTTTACCACAATGGTAGTACCTCACTTTATCTCTAAACTTGGATCTATATTTGGACTTACTACGGCATTTTGAGTTCTAACCTCTGTCAATTTTTTTACCCTTATTCTTTGTGATAAAAGCTTAATTCCTAGAGTCTGAATTTTTTTACCTTATTTTTTCATTAAACATACTATCTATTATCATCTCTAATGTCTCCTTGTAGTTATGAGCTGAACTAAGAACAATCACAACTAGAGTATTCCAGCTATTTGGCAATGAATCCAAAAAAAAATAATGCATTTATTTCATCTTTCATTTTAAGCTTTATAGTAGTTATTCGATTAAATATATCTTAAAAATCATTCAAATGCTCTGTAATCAATTGTCCATCCCTATACTGTAAAGTTGCAAGCTTTTTAACAAGTATAATTTTATTCATGCATGTTTTTCTTTTATACAATGTTGTCAATTTTTTTCAAATAATGTGAGCATTTGTCTTACGTGCTACATGATAGAACATGTTGATATTAACCTATTTTTTTATTTTGGCCAATATCTTTCTGCCTAGCTTCTTCCAGTTTACATATTTCATATATGCTAATTTAGTCGAATTACCCAATACTAACACATATAAATTTTTACAATATAAATGATCATTTATCATAAGCATCCAAATTGAATAATTTGATACTATCAATTTTATCATGGAACTTGTATCACCCTCTATGATCTCAAATAGAATTTACTTCTATCCTAAGTTACGTTTGTATTGATATCTCAATAATAACTGTAACTTTGATATCACTTATTAAGTCCTTTAATTGGCCAATATCAAATGAGAATAGGACTGGACCCTATATTCTCAACACCCTCTCTCTTTCTCACACTCATACACACAAATGTCTTTCTTCATTTTTAGCATAACTTAAGCGAAGACATGCATATGGGGTAAGGGATTTAACAATGTGGAAAAACAGGCAAATCAAGTCCATTATGCTCTATCATAACGGTAAGCTTTTAAAATAAACTCCCAAAAAACAAAGTCTAAAATTGATTTATCAATATATTTATTAGACCATGATTATTGTGGGATCATAATCTAGCCAATCGGCCATGATTGTGCTGAGCTTTGTCTATTATCACTCAACACAAACCAAGAAACTACATGCTTTCTCATTAATGTCGTTAGTCACCTTGTCATAAAGATTCCTAAGCTCTAAGAACATTAATTCTTGTTAAAAAAATATATTATTATTATTAATTATTATATGAAATTAATCTGTAAGTAATTCCATATGCTCCTTCGTACTTTAACAATCCACAAGATATGGAATCATGAACTTCAACCCCCCTTGATTACTAATTATTTCATATATTAATCATTTTTCCTTGTACTACCTCTTAGTTAATTGCATATACTTTGACATTTTCATGATTAAATTCACTCAATAATTAGTGGATGACAAAAAATTTGACAGTAAGTAGGATAAGAAGAGAGGATTGAAATTATCAATAGTTTTTCACTGATTAATCTAAAAAAATCAAACAAAAATGCATTTGCTCAATTTAAGCAAGAGAAAGAAAGAGAGAATGAGAGATTCAAATGCAGTGATGGGAGATAGAGGAGGTTTTAAGCCATACAAGCTTTTTTTCAGTTTGTAAACTAAGTGATTTTTCTTTTTCACTCAAAACCCTTAGGCTGGTTCATATAAATGTCCTTCTACAAGTTACCATGTAAAAATATAGTCTTGACATCAAATTGTTCAAGCTCAAAATTCAAACTAGCTACTAATTCTAGTACCATTCGAATAGGACTTATCTTCACAACTCAAGAGAAGAACTCATCAAAATCGATGCCAAGTTTTTAAGAAAAACTTTTCACCACTAATTAAGTTTTGTACCTCACTAGCTTGTCAGCATCTTTGTTCAGCTTAAACACCCATTAACTCCTTAATGACCTCTTTCCTTTTGAAAGTTTAACAACATTATATGTATCATTTTTGCAATGAGTCCATTTCTTCTTTTATTACTTTTAATCAGTACTCTCTATCCAAAGTGCTTTGCACATCTTGAAAACTCTCTGGCTCCCTCTCACTGGCAACTAAAATAAGATTTAAACTTAGATACATGATAAATCTCCTAGGCTGAAACTCTACACTACTTGATGTTACATATAGCTCCTTATGCTTAACACTTTCTGGTGGAGATGATTGCTCACCTTGCTCAATTCTTTCAGTGGAGAGGACTGCTCTCCCTACTCAAAACTAATTGCATCTGACTAATCATTAATTATGACTAGCTCATTCATATCTTCAAGTTCTATCTCTTGCTCATTTTCACGATTTGTGGCTCTTTTTTATGAAACCTTATCAGTGTTAAAACATCACATTTAACAATAACTTGTGTAATTTTTTCATTTTTTTAAGGTTTGCTATGACTTATTTCTCATAGAAAACTATATCTCTACTTTTGACTGTCTTTCTATTCACTAGATCTCATACCTTGTAGCCAAATTCTTTATCATTATATATTTCAAACACACATTGTGTGGGTTGACTATTAAGTTTTTTTCACTACTTTTTCGATCATGTATAAATGTTTTATACCCAAAAACTTTTAAATAAGAGTAT